TATAAAATTCTTTTCATTAATGCTCAGCAACACGCATTTGGCAGCTGAACATTTTTTGAAGCAGCAGTTAACAATGCAATTCACCAAACAAAGATAAGCTCAATGGTTTCCAGGAAACTGAAAGATGAAAGAATGTGGAGAGAGTCAGCCATGGTTTCAAATGAAGAACAAGTGAACTAAGGTCAAACTAAAGCCTAAAAAGAAACTCCAACAAGGACCCAGAAACCACAGTACAGACACATTTCAGACTGAAATTTCACAATGCATTTCAACAGTGCAGACAACACATTCTTTGGTATATTAATTCACTGGGGACAATTTTTACAAAGTAAAGGAGAAACTCTGATTGCAAAGCCCAAAGTTTCTTTACTTCAAGCATATACTTCAGTAGATTTTCTGTAGTGTTGCTGTTTTTCATAATGACTGTTCTTTATCTTTGCCTTATCTTTGTAATGATTTCAGTCTTATCTTCCAGTCTTGCTTTGTGGACTCTGTCTTTACTGAAACCATTAAACAGTACGTACAAGATAAGGTGTAGTAGAGGGATCCATAAACATTATAATTTCAGAAGTCAGCATCTACTAAATAGCCTGCTCCAGAAATACTATGAATATATTCTTCCTCTATGAAGGACAGGGCAGAGTAAATCTGCAGTTGTACAAAGCCTCTTGAATAATTCCTTCATACTACAGTAGTGGAAGTAATGCAGCATTCTACCCCCAAGACTCTCAACTTTTTCCAAAGTTATTTCTATGCCTACTGCAAGTTAGTCCCTAATATATTCAATTAAACTCTGCTGTTCAATCTATCCACCAAAACAGAACACAAACAAAAATGAACTACCAGAGAGACTTCGTTTTTTTAAATAAATGATTAAAACTCATCCCTCAGCAAATCTGTAAAAACCTGTATTTTAAAACAATAAAGCCCAATACAACTCTACATCCAGAATTAACATTTCAAACTTCTGACAAATTGCCTCCACCAGCCTCACAGCATTTATTTCCAGTTTTACACAGCAAATTGCAGTGGTTTAGAAAATAGAAAAGAATTTAAAATGCATGAATTATAAACAGACAATTTAATTAGCTAAGCTATAAAATTAACTTGTCAGAAATGAGAGATTTCCCACAATCTGTATTTTATAACATTGAAATGACATTTTCACCAGTACAGCATTCCCTAGAACCATGCCTAGGCATTCCTCCACTGACATATAGTGAAGAGTGCCATCTATTGAATTGCAAATGTTATCTCCTGAAATAATTATTTTGGAAATATGCCAGCATCTTGCATCAGGAGATACCTTCTATTTCATTCAATTTTCTTTAGTAATAACAGCATTTTCCAGAAATAAGGCTACCCAGTATTAACTGTGTAAAGCTAGAAAAGTAGAACCTTCTGGTACTACAGTCAATCAATTTAGAGTTCTAAATACACAGTCTAGCCAAGGAAGAATGTTCACTATGTTGAAAATTTGGAAAGTAGACTGATAACAAAATATACTATTATAACCCGATCAAGTCTTGGAACAGACCCATTTATATTCAAAACATCTGAATGAGTCAGCAGTTCACTGCATTTCCCAGGCCTGTTGTAGACCAGCACAGTTCCCAGACGCACTTCCTCAGATTGTGCTTGCCTCACTGACAAGGTCAGTGGTGATAAAAAGTGATATCAAGGCCAATGACCAGGAAAAGATGACAACACAGACTTATTTTATCTGCCTACCCATTAACCTACTCGGTATACTGAAGTTCTACATAATTCTAGCTTTTGCTTCACATTTTTTAGCTAACTGTAACATAGCAGAGCAGTGCATTAAAAGAAGTTCTACTATTGTTTCAATATTTTGAGCAGAAAAGAGCTAAATATGCTGACTGTTGTGGCACACATGCAAATGAGTGATCTCTAAACTGATCACTGACTGCCCCTTTGTTCGATATCTTATTCCCATACACTCCAAGTATGTAAAAGGAACTAGTACCAGTAAGGATGTCTGTTAATTGGCTAATTTATTTTTCTTCAATGCAAAGATCAGAATGCACATGGTTGTATCCATGTCAGCGTTACAGCTGCTAGATGTCTAATCATATCAGATGTGTAGTTCCAGTACAGTCAGCACTAACACTGCGTACATAAACAACAGCAAAAGTTCTTGCAACTGTAGCTATAGCACTATCAGTAAATGAAATTATACCACTGCAGTCACGCTGTTATCTGATCCCTAAAACTTTTGATCTGCACTGGAGATTCCTTTAAGGAGGCAATAAAAGACAACAGGAATAATATTTATCATAACTCTGACTACTGTAGAAGGTAAGCCCACTACTGAAGCCAAAGGTGGACTATATGGACTTTGGTCTGCAAAGAAGAAATTGATTTACACAATATACAGCCATTAAAAAGTTACCTTTTTTCCTTTCAATGCAGTGATAATAAAAAATTTCCATCTGTGAAACATGTACAAATTCTTGATCCTTTCTCTTGTAGAATCAAAAAATCATCAGGTTAGGAGAACATGGGGTCATCTCTAGTCCAACCTCTTGCTCAAAGTAAGGTCAGCTCTGAGATCACTGAAACATTCAACAGTTCACTATTTTGTCCAGTCAAGTCTGCAATATTTTTTAAGGACGGTATGTCACAGCCTCTCCAGGCAACCTGCTTCCCATTCTCAGTTACCCTCAGAGGTAGTTTTCTTTTTCTTTAAATTCAATTAGAAACTCCTCATTTCAATTTATGAACAATGTTCTCTCGTCCTCCCATCAAGTAAATCAGTAAAGATACTACAGCTCTGTCCTGGATGCAATACTCCAAACAAAGTCTAAAGAGTAATGAGTAAACAAACGTAATTGTCCCCTTAATCTTTTGACTGTGCTCATGCTGTCACAGTCAAACAGTCTGTTACTCTTCACACCCACAAGGCATGCTGCTGGCTCACAGGTAGTCAATGCCAGGTCCCTTCCATCAGACTGCTCCCCAGCCAGTCAGGCTCCAGCTTATACTGTTGTTGAGAGTTATTCCTCTCTACTTTTGCCCTTGAAGAATTTCTTAAGGATCCTGTCAGTCCTCTCTTTAACCCGCAGTCCAGGTTACTGGCACTCCTACCCTCCAGTTTATCAGGTAAATCTAGTCACTGCTTCACAGAAAGCAGTCAGTTTGATCAAGCATTACTTTTGGTAAACCCATGTTCACTGACCCCAGTCACTGACTTTGCCACGTGCATAGCTCTTTCATCTTAATTATAGGTACTGATACCTCTTGCTAACGTAGAAAATATTCAGGGTATCTTGTAAAAATCCAGCTTTTTCAGGTTATTATGAAGATAGGCTGGGGGGAGCTGAGCTTGCTCAGACTGGAGAAGGCTGAGAGGAGACTTCATTGCAGCCTTCCAGTATTTAAAAGGGGATTATAAACAGGAGGTGAATCAAGTTTTTATGAGGGTAGACAGTGATAGGACAAGGGGGAACGGTTTTAAGCACAAGGAAGGAAGGCTTAGATTGAATGTTAGGGGGAAGTTCTTTACAGACAGACTGGTGAGGTGCTGGCACAGACAAGAGATGCTCTGTCCCTGGAGGTGTTCAAGGCCAGGTCAATCTGGTCTAGTTTTTACCAGATTTACCATTTTACCAGATATAAAAGTTGGTGGCCTTACCTATAGCACGGGGGTTGCAACTTGATGGCCCTTGGGGTCCCTTCCAACCCAAGCCAATCTATGATTCTATCCATGCTAGCTTTCATATCACTTTGGTTTCTTACACACTGCTGAACTAGTTCGTCTTCCCCACACAGTACCTTCTATGTAGAGGGGAAAGAAAAGCCTTCCTATCTCAAAGCAGAAACATAACACTAAATAAAAATGTTCACAACTGAAAAACATGCATGTGTGCCCAATTTTTGGTCACTAGTGGCAGCTCAGTAATAAAGTTCTTTTGAGCTTTCCATTAAAGATCTTATGTGAGTAAGAGAAGCCTTCAAAGTTTTGCACAAAATATATATATTAAAATAATGAAAAAAACCATGATTTGACGACTTTCATTCTTTGCTCATAAAAAGATCTATGAAGGATCCAGCATATAAACAAATGCTAACATTGGTTTTCAGACCAAATGACAGACGTTCCACCTTAGGACTTCATCTAGCTTTGAATAATTTATATATTTCCTCCCTAGTTATCTTCTCTACCAATTGCTTCACAGCTCGTTAAGATTAAACAGCACAGATCAAAAAGCACACTTACAAAGTGTATGTCAAAGAGGATTTTAAAAAAAAAATCAAGTCCTTGAGGTTTCCCCATGACTAGATTTTTTAATTATACTTTAGTTATATTTCCTTATTGTAACTTGAGTAATGTAATAAATTATATTCATTGAAAAGAATTGTAATATACTATTTGAGTGTGGCACGTAGTTCTGCAAGTTTGGACTTGTCAGTTTTGACTCTATACTTAGGAACAAACAGAATTTCAGACTAAGAGATTAATAATAGGATCTTCATATATTTTAAGTTGTATGTTCCACATTCACTTTTACTCAAAGTAGTAACAAAGATGAGATGCGATGTATTTGTTCTAAAACAGTAATGATTATACTTCAACAACCATTCTCCTTGCACGCCCATATTTTAATGACTCCTGTTTCTAAGAAATTCATGCATCAAATGAAAACTGAGCACAAAAATATACCAAATGAATTTAGTAGAAGTAAATCGCACCGGGTCCTCTAACAAATACTGAATTATACAGCCCCTAAAAAAAATGCTTTGAAGATGTATTTGTACATGTTTGTTTATAAATGGTACCTCCTCCTCCAGGCAAGAGGGCAGAGTAATTTTTTTTCCACTTTGAAAGGCACTATTAATTGCATGTTTATTTCCCCAGGAACTCTTTCAGGAATTTACAGAAGGTTTCAAAATGGGATTTTGTTGTTAAGGTGTAAGGTATGATAAATTCCAAAGTTTTCAAGCTGAAAAAAAATTAAAATAAAATAAAAGAGACTTACAAAATTTCTCTCTAAAGATTTCAGCTGATGATCTATTTCTTTCAGACGGTTTTGTTGATCACGATATTCTTTATTGTCTCGTAGAACCTTTTCACCTGGAACTACTTCTAGGTTTCTGTTTGCATAAACCAGAGACTCCTGATAAAAAGAAGAATAGGCAAAAATTAATTTTTTTTTTGCTTCAAAGCCTGAAGAATGTTCATTTGATTTACATCAGCAAAACATGGAAATCTATAGAATAATGTATAAGTTTCAAATTTGGGAAATGCATAATTTTTATTACGCATATTTTCAAATCCAATAGCTAAATGTTAGGCTGGACTTAATTCAGTAAAAAGCCTTCATCACATTCAAAGAGGAATTTCTTTGATGGTTAAGTTCTATGAGAAACATAAAAATGCATTGAGAAGTAGCGATTCAAAAGCTCGCTCCCTGTCAATGATACTGGGACCAGAATTAGGCCATTGCTGACAACTCTCAGAAGGGAATGAAAGAATCAAAATTGAAATAGGCCTTGTTTCCTGGACATCATGGTAAACTAAAAAAATCCTCTGAGTTCAAGTGCAAGATAGATGTACTACTGTCATTATATTCTTGGGTTACACATTCTCATATCCTACAGTAGTTTTGGTTCAGATTTTGCAATTAATAACAATGCTGAATACATCAAAAGTTCAATGTAGTACTATTACATACAAGAACAGAATGGAATTCAGATTATTAAGAATGACAACTATTTGCCAAAAACAAATGGCAAAGTTACACTGTAGTTGGAAAAAAAGCTGGGCTTTCTGTTGCAAATCAAGGATCCTATATAAGAATCCAAGTAAGTCGAATAATAATAATTAAAAAAAAAATTATTAGTCAGTTCAACCCAAAAGAACATGAGCAATCATTTAAAAAAAAAAAAAACATACTTTTCATTCCTTTTTTTTTTTTTTTTTTTTTCTTTTTCCAGAAGCAGTTTAATAAACACATATGAGGAAAACAATTCAGATAGCATGTCTAATTGGAAAGGAAAATTAACTTTGTAATTTGTCAACTGCAACATATAAAAAAATTGTAAGTATCTGAAAACATTTCTTCTGAACATAAAAAAAAAATCATGAGCTCTCAGACTTAAACTACTGTGCCTGAAAATAAAATTAACACAGTGCAATCTTTATTCAGTATTCAAATCAGTGACAGTTGGCTGTACCACAATCCCAGATTTTTCCTGTAACAGACATAGATATAAGCGACAGCATCTGATAGAGACTAGAATTTCTCTAAACTGAGCTCAAGTTTAATGTGGACCACCTAACGCCAAAATCTGTTAATAATGTGTGTTTATAAAGGCTGGCTTCTCTATAGAAAGAGATTATTAATTAAACTTGATGCCCAATTGCAAGAAAACATGACAGAACATAAAACAGAGGACTTTTTTAAACTTGTGTTCATTAATATATGAAACATGAATAGGATCTTTATGACCACAATATAAACACAAAGTCAGCAAAGAAGCCCAAAACAAACACTCACTTTCCCTCTAGTAAAATAGATTGCTTTTGTATGACTTTACTCTTCCAGGGATTTTAATACAAGTTAAATAATTCTTCAAACCACTGGGGACAAAGAGGAGGATGGAAGCTAATAACTAGAGGAAAACATAAAGCTGGAAAGCCTTGCACAATTTTTCTGAAATTTCTGTATCTCTAACGGTCAGAGTAAAAAAACACTTATAGAATGCAGTTGAAGACAATACAATACTAATAAAATACATTTTTTCCTGCAGTTTCAGGAAAAGACTGGGAAGGAAAGATGGGGATGACACAAATTGATAGTGTAAAATCAAAACTAAAAATTATTCCAAATTTTTTAGAAGAGAGATTTGAGAACATTTTCGCTGAATTTCGTTCTGAAAATGTTACAGCATATTCATCATTGAAAAGTAAGCCTTTGTTAATAGCAAACTATTTTTACAGTGATCTTGATGAAGTCTTCAGAAGTTCATAACAAACAAAAAGTATAAGAAAGGCTGTTTCCAACACCAGGCTATCTTCAGCAAGACCCTACAAGGGATACATACACACTGGAATAGAAACAGCAAACCTGTAGTGATAATTTCTTAGTGTTCTACCCCAGACTAAAACAACTGTAGTTCATGGACCTACTTCCACTACAAAGACTGTACTTTGGCACAGAGCAACCTCTGAAAGATCTCTGTTCTATAAACGCGTTCACTCGTGTTTTGAACAATGTATACTTTTGCATCCCCAACGGCTTCTGGCAGAGTCATAGTTGTCAGAAAAACATTTCCGTTGTTTGAATCTGCCACTTTCTGGTTTCATTTGATTCTTCCAGTTCTTGCATGAGATAAGATGGCAAATAAATGTCAGTATTTACTCTCTCTGACAAGTGTAATTTTGCATACTTCAATCACACTTCCTCTTATTCATTTTTCCAAACTGAAGAATGTTGCTAAGTCAGTTCTTGCATGGAAGCTATTCCACGCTTCTGAACATTCTGTAACCAGATTTCTATTTCTTCTAATCTGGTTATGAGATCTGAGGGCCTCACGGAGCAATTGTCAAGTTCCATTGTGCACGACAGATTTGTACAGTAGCACAGTGATTTTTTTTCCTGTTTCACTCTGTATTCTTTGCATAATTGTTCTTAATCAGTTCATATCTTGCACTGCGGAGGGTTAAACTGCTGATTCCACAGAAGCAGATCTTAGCAGTCTCATTTACCTCATCCCTGAGTAGCAACTGATCAGAACTCGCACCACATGAGCAAAGTTCATACAGCTTTTCTCCACTCACTCATTTTTCATTTTTTTTCCTGAAGATATCTGGATGAAAGGAAGCACTATATCATGAAAAATATTTTACTGTCTATGTTTCAAATTCTTCGAAAATTTTAAGTTTTTCTTCATTAGAGATTAAAATCTACAAACCTACTAAGACGATGTAGGAAATAAAAAGTATTACACATAGCAACTGCTAAAGCCACAGTACAATGCCATAGCATAAACAGAAATATCCAGTATTTCAAATGGCTAAATTTATGTTTTGGATTTCCTTTTCTCCAAAATTCTCAAAATTAAAAGCAAAAGTAAAAAGCAACCAAATGAAATCTACTGGTACCATGGAATCTTTTTGAGTCACAAAACAGATTGACATGTTCACCTGCTTCTAAATATGCCTAGAAGAAGAGAGAGCTGTAAAACTCTTCTGTTTTGATGAAGAGGAGGCATGGAATGCAGGCTATAAAGCAGGTCATTAATGAAAATACCAGTGTGAGTTCAGAATCTTCCATTCTTTTGACTAATTATTTGAACTGTTGGCTATAGTTTGGTGTGGTAATTGAAAAAGAGAATTATTTCTCTGACAAAAGGAAGCCAATCAGGTATGAAAGAATTCATCAAGACTGCAAAAACATGGAAGTAATTATCTTCATAAGGTAAAAATGAACAGATCTTTAATCATAACCTCCATTTCATTTTATTTTCAGGTAGTTTTCCAGTTGTTCAAGTTGGTAACTGTATTCCTCATACTCAATTTTACACTTCATATTCTTTCATCCTACCATTTTCCTGTCTCTTCTAGGATTATATTCAATTTAATTTGTTCTTCCAAAAAACACTGAGAAAGACAAAAGCATTTTTTAAATTTTTAATTAAGTTGGCACCAAAACAAAGAAATGTTTCAAAGAGAAATTAAGTTCTGATGAGAAACATTTCCATGTAAAAGAAAACATTAGTCATGGAAAAGCATTCTGAATCCAGCTGTTCTGATTGCACAAAAAGATGAATCTGTATGCTTCACTCTAACAGCTCAGCTATGGTACTGTACAATAATTAAATCCAGTTGTTAAAGATTTCAGAGTTGGAGAATATTTCCTATATCCTGCCAATGCATCTATAAGCAGCAGGAAGCATCTCTCCCACTGAGCCAGTGGTGATTAAGTGCTTGCTCTTTGAAATTTATATCTAATGAAATTCTTGGAAAAAAGAATGTGCTTCTTTATGATATGCAACATTTAAATTAATTTCATTTCAATTACTTCTAAAATTCTAAACAAAAACATAAGCAGATGGTTACACATTAACATTTTTTTTCCCAATATTTCCCATCACTAGTCCATTATGTTCTACTTAACCACAGCAGATGAAAATTCCACCTCATGGAAATCAGAAAGAATTTCAACACAGACTAATAGAAGAGTGATGCCACTGATACCAGTTTCTGTTTTTCCAAATGAGACTTATTTCCTGTAACAACTAGACACACTCAGAAAAAGTTTTCAGCAGTACTGAAGTACAATAAGATATCAAATCAGGGCTGAAAAAGGCATTCTCATACCAGCCCTGCTGAAGGTTAAAGAAAAAAAGATAGCAGAGTACTAAACACAAATGCACTTTATCTTTAAGATAACATATTCAAAAGACAATTTAACTATCTAGATGATATCTAGATAGCTGCAAAATAAAACAAAAATGCCATGTTCAAGAGAAGAGTTAGCATGATAATGAGTATCGTGAATATCATACTTGCATCGGCCTCCAAAAGACATTCACTACAAAGAATTCTCATTTTTTCTATGGCCCATCTTCTTTCAGATATCAGAACTGATGCTTTAAGATTCAAAGTTGTTTAAAAAAAAAAATAAAAAAGCACGAAAACTTCTAGTTTATAACAATATTAGAGGATATCAATCATAATCACAGCTGTTTCACGAAGACCATGAGCACCAATGAGTTTAGAACATGTAGAAATGTATGCCTTTTGAGAGGAAGCTCTCCAGATTCAAAGTAGTTGCTAATTTCTCAGCTACTGATGCGTGTTACTTCCTGCTTTTTGAAAAGGCAGCTGTTAAAGGGACTTGAAAACAAAAGATGTTTAGAATGAATTCACATAAGCAAACCCAGAACTGGACCTGCCTTCAATGTTCCACATATATACTGAAGTGATGGTATCAAGATACAAATAACCACAATCAAGATTGTAGAACTAAAAGATCCAGCACAAAGCTTCCACACTAAGCAGCCAAGTTTCTGAAAGCTGACATAGCTATTTTCTCCTCCACTTACCTTCAAAAATGTTAACAGCTGAAATTATGTGTAGTTATATACAAGCCCAGTCATGTCACAGTGCCAGATACAATCAGGCTGCACCTATTAAATTAGGCATCATGAAGAACTCAGCATTGACTTTTCTAATGTGACGTTGGCAATGAAACTATGGCACCCACCAGGCACCCAATTCTCTACAGAGAGCAACAGCTGTGAAGATGCAGAGAAGCAGCAATACAAGTGTCTAGGGAATTTTGGTGTCAGCTGGAAAGGCATAAAATCATGACACTTATGGAATTAGACAACTGCAGACTTCTGTTTCGGATTTATGCAATTAGCATTCTTCCAAATCCAGTTTTAAAAAGCTATAGTATCTATCAACTTCAACTTATGTTTCTTCTGTTTAACTTCCTCTCAAACTTACAAATCCAACTATAAGTAGTTTTGTTCTTTGGTAACTTTCATTAAAATGACTCACACACTGTAGTTTATCTGAACAACAACGAAAAAAGACAAACAGAATTTTGTTTCCCAGTTCTACAGTGTACAAAAAAATTTCTGCAAAACAAAGCTGAAAGATAAATGCTTTTTACCAAGTATGGGTAATTTAAGAAATTAACTGCCTTGTTTTGGTTGTTAATTCTGATACTATTCAAAAAAGTAGTGTACTCTTTTCAAGAAGTATATACATAAGTGCAAGTTTCTCTGTTCAAATACTTCAGAGTATGAAACAAAGAGTGCAATAACGATCACTCTGATCAAACGCTCCCAAAGAACTCATTATCACAAGCAGTATCACCAGGTTCATGGTGCTGCCTCTTATCAGTAAGCTCAAGATCCAGCAGTCTTTGTCGAGTTCAGGTCCGTGAACCTGAAGCACCCACGTGGGTAACAACTAAATTTGCGTGAGTGATTAACCACTAGAGGGAGATGCTGTTTCATACCTTAAATGCGAGGAGGAAAATGACCAGCTTCAAATTACGGCTCCTCTGGAACTTACAACAACATAAAATACTGCTTCAGGTCAAATAAAACCTAAATAAGGTTCACAAGTAAGTCAATACAAAACTGGCATTAAAATGTTAAAATTTTGTTTGTTCTGGCTATGAACTGTACATTTTAATAAAGTGAACAGGCTTTGTGCAAATAAGTACAAAACAGGAGTTGCAGTATTTTATGTAGTTATTTCCCCCATCATACACCATGGACAACACTCTTAGAACAATGGAAAATTTGGTCTTCTATGTGCAAAATTCAAAGAAATATTTCTCAAGGCTGAGACTTCTAAGCTTATTACTCTTGGAAAGGGAAAAAGACAAAAATCCTTTAAAAAAAAAAAGACAATTTCAACCCACTTTCTAAAGTCTTCAACACTGCTTATCAATAATTGTTTAATCTTTCAGTTCACTTTTGAAATCTTGAGACAAGAAGAAACCACATTCTAATTTGCAAAGAAGAATTATCATGGATAATGTGCTACAGCGGCCATTTTGCAGTTTTGAATATCCAAAATAACAATTTTTGAATATCAAATTTCTTGGTTAAAGCTCTTTTCTGTAATATACCTGATAAATCTGGCTTGGAGGATTTGAGCAAGACCTGGAAATTGTAGAATAATCACCATTAGATAGTAGTATTTGAAGCTTCCTGTCTATCTCATTTAGGTGATGAAATTCCATCGGTTCAGGTGTGTACCCTTCTCCTGGTGCTAGCCAGCCACATACATCATCCTGTTGAAAGATACAGGAAATATTTAATCCTCATTCCCAAAGGAAACAGGCTTTAAAAGCAGTTACACATCAAGCATATTTATTTTTTGAATAAACTGCATAAAAGGACAATGTGCAAGTTCTCATCTATCTCATTATATAGCTGAATTCTGCCAGCATTCTTCTACCAAGCATATCCTAGAGCAGATATTCACCAACTAGAAGTACACATTTCTTTATTTTTAAATATAACTAAGCAGCAACTTAGGTGGACTTAAAGATATATATTTGTTACATTTTACTTTTAGAAAGTACACTCATCTACATGCATTGCTCAAATGCAACTGGGGAAAAAAAAAAAAAAAAAGATCTTGTATTAACCAAAACAGATTTCTGCATACTTTCATATGAATAAATCCAAAACCCACATATTCACTGGCTAGCCACGTAGAATCCCTGAAATAAAAGTGCTTACAGGCAGGTGCCTTGCCTCTATACCAGCCAGTCAGAGAATAAACAGACAGCTCCACAAGTTCCCCACCCGTTCTTTGGAGGTTACACAACACTTTCGATCAAGTTCTCTTTACATACAACAAAAGCACTTTGGATAACTAACCCCTTTACCTTACTGATGCATTTCACTGTATACTGTCTTATCCAGGTTACATGCCAGCAAGTTATCATAGCTTCCATTCATGAATACAGACTCCCCCCTTTTTGTAGACTCTGCATCTGTTGAATGTAGGAGTCCCAGCTCCATCTTTAAGGAATAAGAGTTTACCACAGCCTAACATACACACTGATCTTGCCCTCTGGTGCTGTACACAAGCAGCACTTTTTGATGCCAATGACATGAACATCTATTTTGGAGGTGGTGTACTCCTTTGCAAGATAGTGCAAAGGACAGAAATTCAGAGTAAATTGTTTGACAGAGGTAGATCCACCAATCCTAAGACTGAAAACATGCAAAAAGTATGCAATAATCTCATGTTTTCAGAGCTAATATTGAAGAAAAAAAGCTCTCATAAACTGCACTAAAACTGTTGGTAAACATCATCCTAAGACAATTCAGTTATATCTTGTTTGCACAAAAAGTATTATTCTGGGAATACTGTATTACAACTGAAGTTGGACAAGGGACGAAGAATTGACTACACAGCAAACAGTAAAATATATTTACATATTAAAAAGACAAATACAAGTCACAGAAGTCTCAACTTCACTGAAAAACAACATATTGGCAAGCTGCCCAATCAGCTTTCACCTCAGAAAGAAATTCTGGCATCAACCACAGACACCCTTTCCATAAACAATCACATATCTATTTTACATTCCCAATCACACCTGCACAGCAACACATGCTAAAAATCATTCAGAAGTCCAATAAAGTGGAACATAATACACTGCTCTCTATTATCTTCCGAAGCAGCCGGAAGCAACATACTACTGTGCAAGCCAAAGAAACACAATCAGCAGCTACAACTAAAAGCACAGCAACTTTCTATCTGACAAAAAAATCAAGAAGAAACACACAATCATGGAGTGACTGAAGTGAGAAAGGGCCTCTGGTTCCATTTGGCCCAACCCCTGCTCAAGCAGCATCACCCAGAGGAGAGTGCCCAGACCCATGTCCAAGAAGCTTTTGGAGATCTCCAAGGACAAGGCTTATGCATGCCAGTGGAAGAGAAAAAGCCTGAGAAATCCTAGAATTAAATTCGAAAAGGTTGATCCTATGGTAGAAACTGCCTGGAGTCAAATCTCAAACTAAAGATATGAAATGCAATGTGAGTGTTGCATGCCCAAAGAACAAAAGAAGACATCCGCAGGAAAATCTGAGTTCCTACAGGAACTGCTTTGAGATCAGTAACCATCACCCTTGGAGTGTATCCAGCACATTACCACGGAAACATTGGGAGAGGTAGAAAGCAGAGTTCACTTCGTGATAGTGACTTACATAATTTCTTCCACTTGATAGCAGTAACACCTGACTAATCAACACAAGTATGTGTTCCCAGTATAGACAACTGTATACTATGAGTGAATTTGTCCCACTTAACCCAAACAAATGAGCACATATTTGTAGATATTGATTATCCACTGCAACTTGGTACTCTTGTCTCACACCCCGGGAAGTGGCTCTGCACAACCACTATTCACTATTCACTATTCACTAGCAAATTACATCTCTATCCTGATTCCAAACAATCATCAGTTACAACCTCACAAGAACAGGGCAGGGAGATGGGGGAAGTAGAGAGCATACTGTTGATTTTCTTTCTTTATCCTAACAGGAGAGGATCATCACCTTATTTCAAGATTTCAACATCTGTCTTGCAAAGGATTCATGCCCATTCTTCCTTTACAGCTTCCAGATTAACCCTGTAACTATTTGAGCAGCTGCATCCACACACAAGGAGGAAATATCAGCTCCAAACTACAATACCACTACTGTGAGGTCATCCCTAGTCATCCTCATTACTCTAAATCACGCTGGCTACAAAAAAAAAAAAAAAAAAAGAAAAGAAAAGAAAAAAAAAAAGAAAAAAAAAGCACACCCCAAACACTTGCCATAAATTACCTCCATTCTGTCTTTGTGAAACAAAATCAAACAAAAGTAGAATGACCTGCTAAACTTGTGTCATGTTACCCATCCTCTAATCAGTCAAGCACACATATGACTCTGCAGGAGACAAACTATGAACCCAGGTGCAATTTTGTAGCTAGAGCTCAATGTCTATTTCTCATGCTCTCCCATCTTCTTTTTGCAGTATCTAATAGCCACTTTACTCCAGAGTAAAACAGACTTAAACATTCTCTCGTACTTTCAAGATGGTCAGTGATTTAACATTTGTCTTGGAAAATACGCTTCTGTCCTACCACTATTTCCAACATCTTAACTCAGAATGTTTCTGTAACAGCAGTAGGCGCTTAGTACTATGTAACATCTGAAACAAATTATACCCCTGCTGATTTAACAGTTCTATTAGCATGAAAGCGTACTTCTAAAATACTTCAAATATCCATAAAACACTTTTATTTAAGTAAGAAGTACTATTTGGATATTTGGCTTATTTACTTGTACAAGTCAGACTGCATTATATTACACAGAAGAATACAACATGCCCAGCTCTGCACTGATTAAAGCCCTCCAAAATATTACTTTGGCCAACGCAGTTGGACCAGCTTTTTAAAAGTCAGAATAAAGTAAGATAAAAGTGGCCATCAGTTGGACAGTTGCATTGCTGGGCCAGCTTGGAGCAGTCTAAATTACTCATCAACTGATAATTTTCTTGTGATCTTTGCTATAAAGCAGCCACAAGAAATGACTCAGACATAATATAATTCAAATGTAGCAGAAAAAGAATCTCTTAACTCGCCAGGTTTCAAGAAGCTACGTATTATCCTTTCTTTTATTCTACCTTGGCAGTAAATTTAGGAGCTATTTTCTTTACAGAGGTGACCTAGCAGTGACTAGACTAACCCACAAATTACCATTCCTGTTATTGTCTGTTATATCAAGAACCTACAGCAATAAACGCCTTCTGTAGTGATCTACTTAATAACTGATATAGGAGTACAAGCTCTATAGATCCATGTCCAAAGAACAGTGACACATTCCAGATATGAACTCTGGATAAGTGTCATATTTTGTCTCGGAGCCTTAAGAATTGGAGCACAGAAAAGGGCTAGCCAGAATTTGCACTATTTGGAACAAACACCTGTCTAATTTGTGACCATCTTTAAGAAAAAGAAAACTTGATAGCCACCTACTGTGAGAGAAGACTTCTGCAATCAGTAAACCAATAAATTCTTAATTTAAAAAAAAAAAAAAAAGTAATCACAAACAGCAACCACTGTTCTTTAAGTCAGAAAGCTCTAATGCTTACTAGCAGAAGCCTATTTATAAGATTATCACTTATTTAAATGTCAACATTTATGAAAGATCAACTCTTTCAAAAAAGAACAGAAGGGACAGTATTGTTAAGCACCAACCTTTCCAACATAAGGACAAAAACAACGAAAACAAGGACAAATCAGAAATCCGCTCTCTACCAATATTTTCTTCTTACTCAAAAGCTGGATGAAGTAGATTGAGTTAAAGATTTTGATCCTTACATGAGCTCACTCCTTTAACTCATGTGTGAAACAATAATTTCTAAAAATGGATTTTAGCCATGTTTTGGAAATGAGTAATGAAGAACAGCACCTCCTGGATGTCTCATGGCCTTACCAGAAAATAAGAGTAAAATATGGAAAGATGGAACAACAAAAAAATAAAATAAAATAATGGACTGCAAAAGAATTTACCCCAGATCATTTCTGTAATATAAACAGAAGCTTAACCTAAATTTTTTGTTGCCCTTTCTACACAAAGTTCTTATCTTAGGGGCAGTGATTCAGTGCACACTTATGTACTGTGACAAAATTCATAACATATTAAGTACTCAAAGTACATAGAATTCAAGCAACGTACTTTTAAAGGTAAAACAAATTTTAAAGGTCATATAATTTCTTTGAACACAGCAAGTATTTTTCCAGCATTTTTCCTTTCTTATAAAAGTGGAGTTTTCTTTAAATATAATATCAAATTTGTATTGAGGATGAAAATACTTCTCTTTAGCATGTTTAATACCACATGTATTTGAAATATAGCACAGGTTTACAGACTGATTTGTTTTTCAAACAAAATTTTATCTTCCTACACTAGATGCATCATGAGAACTTCTGTAACATATGAAGGTCCCCAACAACTCTACCACTCTGACATTTACATCAAAGGAGTAAACAATAAAGACTGTCTACTAATAATGAGGAGATCAAAAGAGTATTTGATGTGCTCAGATTACTGGGAACCATTCTGTGGCACAGTTTCCTTGACACAGTGATGGCTAAGACAATTTTTTTATGCTTTATAAGGGAAAGTGTTTCTACCTCTACATACTTCAGCTTTTCCTATCTAGTGCAATATGCAGACATGCATTGCTTGCTCTGTAACACTATGTTATAATATAGGTGTCTAATATTAAAGTAGGCTTCTGGCTTCTTTATATACTTTTTAGACAGACTGAGTTGGAAGTCACAGTCATCTTTTTAAAAGCAACCATAAGCTTCATCATTGTATATTTCCCCAATTACTGCATCCTGAAATTCATATCCCAAGAAAACCCTGATTTTTGTGGTTTGATTTTTTTAGGTTTTGTTGGAAATAGTTGCTGAACCTTCTACCAGAGACAGTAGTGCTAAGCAATCGGACTGAGATGCAGCAACATGACAACTTACACAGAAATTACTGTACATAAAAAATAGACCACGTTCTGTTCTGAGTGGGTTTCTATGGCTCCTTCCACCTGTTTCTAACTTTTTCTGAAAGATCTGTTTGCTTATTTCAGGCCTGAGAAATTCCAAATAGTAGAAAGAAAATGAAAGAAAGAAGGAAAGGAAGGAAAGGAAGGAAAGGAAGGAAAGGAAGGAAAGGAAGGAAAGGAAGGAAAGGAAGGAAAGGAAGGAAAGGAAGGAAAGGAAGGAAAGGAAGGAAAGGAAGGAAAGGAAGGAAAGGAAGGAAAGGAAGGAAAGGAAGGAAAGGAAGGAAAGGAAGGAAAGGAAGGAAAGGAAGGAAAGGAAGGAAAGGAAGGAAAGGAAGGAAAGGAAGGAAAGGAAGGAAAGGAAGGAAAGGAAGACAACCTAGATTTTTTTTTTCAGTTCAGCTCTCATATATTTGTTGATTACTTCACAATAAGACTAAAGTAAAAATCAAATTTAGATTTACGGTAAAAATAAACCAAATACAACCAGAAAGTATAAATTGCAGTACTCATACCTCAAGATCTTGCAGTGTACTTTCATCTTTTGTATCTTTCAAGAGTTCAATTAACCTTTTCCTTTCTTCTTCAAGCATAGGTACCTGTTTTCCTGAATCCTTTGCTAGCTGAAATGTTTAAATAGAGGAGAAAAAAAAAAAAAAAAAAAAAAAACACATAAATAATAAAACCTTTAAAACTGCAATAGCTCACACAATATTTTAAAACTCCATGATTTAACATCTGATTTTTTTTTAATCATAATATAAATTATCTCTCTGACAGATAATAAAAGTATGATCTTATGTCAGTCTTTGACATAAGATTATAGACACAGACAGGAGGTAATGCTAGATGAAAAAGCCAAAAATCTATAGATACTTATCTTCAGGGCAAAGAAAGTTTGAAAGTCAAGGCCTCTATTTTCTGACAGAAGTCAGCCTTCTTTAAGTTAAAAGTTCCATGCATGCTGTACATAAATAACCTGTATATCTATTCCTCATCTACACATAAGGACAGCTTCCTGTAACTTAATCATAAATATATTTAAAGAAAGGAATTCTTAGGAAATTCCACAAAAGCAGCTATGCTGGGCACAAGCAGAATAATTCAGTTTCCATTACTTTACAGTAAATACACAAAAGCAGTATTAGGCCTACTGTGAAATTTTGAGCATGCAATATGAAATCTATTTTACAGAGTTTTCTGCCATAAGCAGAATTTGTTACAATTGTTAATAGTAACATTAATAGTAACGTAATCTTCATTTACTTCTAAATAGCTTTTAATATTCCCGATAAAGTCATCCAATTGTCACCAGAAGTGCTGACAGTACTTTTTCATTAACATTTCATGAAATATTATTGATTTTTCTTTTAAAGCTTACCTCTACATTCTTTTTAATGAAATGCTGACTGCTTTTACTTTTATTCTGTGTTGTTTTTTCTGCTTGATTCAGGAATTTGTTTGTTTCAATTTCACTTGGATAATCTGAAGTTGGAGGGAAAAAAATGCTAAGCTATAATTGTTCCTTTTCTCTTTCAATCAGAGCTAAAATAACATTAATTTAATTTAAATTTTTAACCAGTTTGTAAAGTCAACAGACCTAAAATTTTGATAAGCTGTTTTTATAATCTACATAAACTATATAGCTACACTTAAAAGAGATAACAATCATCAAAGACAAGCCTAGTCTCATTTTTAGGCTTTTATTATCTGAGATCGTACAACACTGGGAAGGCTCAAAATACTTCAGGATTTCTAACCTCAAGAATGTTAAACATGGTGGTTATAAATGCCCTGGCATTCCTTCGAACTCCATCATTGTTCCAGTTTTATCATCAGTACAAAACCAGACAGTAACTTCTGGGAGACCACAGAACTATCCGGAGTCATAACAATTACATTTTTTTCAAACAGAACAGCTGAAGAGCAGATGATATATTCGATATTATTACAACACAGCTTATAAAAAACTCTTTAAAAATAAAACTCATCATGGAGTTGTACAGCTATTGAACAAACAGCCACATACGTTATTTGTAACAATTAAAACTAATGATGTTCTGACAACTTCTCATGTAGGTTCTTCTTTTCAACAATGGATTTCTATCTATCATATAATTATGAGCACTAGTATGTCATTCAGAGACTTGTACTAGCTCTAAGACAGCAATTCTTTCAAAACCACCAAATATTTATCACATTAAATAACAAGACTAAGCAAATACAATCAAATTCTTAATCTCAAAACCTACTTGAGAAGTATGCACGGTACTTCTTGGGAAAGCAGAGGAATAAAAAACTGAGTGGACTATTTCATCAACAAAAATAACCTCAATTTAACATGCTGGATTATAAAGGATCATCAGATTCTAGCAGCTTACTCTTTTACACTTGACATAAGAAATAATTCTGCAGACTGAGTAGACTGCAAACTCAAAGATATAAAAATGAATGCAGTGCGTTCTTTTACCACTATGAACAAATCGTAACAATAAATCATAAGTAAACTCTAACGGATTGAGGTATGTGATATGATGAAGAAAATCCTGACGCGGTTCAAATGCACAACTGTTTACTTAAAACAACCCAAAATATCTTTAATGTTACCACATAAGACCTTAAATCTATCAAGGAATTGGATCATATTAGAACAGGAAAATTTAAAACGTAGTCAAATTCTACAAAGCATCCACACTTTAGATTCTGTTGCCAACAACAGTTCAACCTTGATGAACATCTGTTTATCACATGTTTGTCGTCACCAGTAAGATATGTCCCTGCATGCAATGGTAGATGACAAAGAAATAAACAAAGCTGATAGCAATGGCAGCTGAAGCCATTCTTCTTATGCCAGCACAAGTGAGAAGTTACTCAACCACACATATTTCAATTTCAAGTAGGGAAAGAACAGAGACACAAAAGTACAATTCTATTCATTTTTAAATATTGATCACCATAATACCAGTGCCTGATACCTCTAAACAGTGCATGAAAACAAGTAATAGCTACATAATGAGCATAGATGCTTGATCTTTACCAGAAAGCACTTACTACTAAAAAGTTACAGAGCAGCTGCAAATGTATAGAAAAACAATTTTAGATGATTTCTTGAATGCAAGTTAATGAATGAACAATTACAGCAATTTAGATTAACAAAGACAAGTTTTTACAAATTTTCATTAAAAAATGATACATTTTACAATAAATGTTGTACATCTATCAATTTACAGTAAAAAACATAACTTGGAAGTATTATTTTTGGTTTTTAGCATTTTGAATAAAATGCTTGGGTAAACCCCAAAGAAGTTCCTCCATTTTGCCATTTGCCAAAAAAAAAAAAAAAAAAAAAAGGATTATTGCCATTCTGCTAAACAGCCTTCTGTTTAAGCCCAATTTCTGATTTTCTGCTCAGCTACAAAAGCCAAGTCTTCATTAACCACCACTGTACGTGTTGTTTTGCCAGATAATAAAGCTTACTTTTATTATGCTGGGTTTTATGGAAGGCATAATCTTCTGGACTAATTTGTGAGTGAAATAGCAACGTGTGTGTTTCATCCTGTTTAACATGAGAGGAATCTGAAAAGAAATGTTTCAGTAAAATTCAATTAAAGAAGACCTAGTATCATACATATCATGCTATAAAATCTCCTACATTATAGTTAAAAAGGTACTTGGATAAATTATATCGCACTACATTTTTCAAGAAATAAAAAAGGAAAAAAGTGGCAGTGTCTCATGAATAACAACATAACAGAATATATATGTTGTTTCATATGCCTCGAGTTTTGAGCAACCAATGAATATACGTACAGAAGCACATATGTGACAGTTACATAATAGAAATTGCAGCCCAAGGCCAGGATATTTCAAAGCCTCCACAGACACCATGTGGTTAGTCACAAAGAAGTTCAAATGAGAATAAAGTATCCAGATTTTCACAGCTGGTGTCTGCCTCTACATGAATTACTTGTCTTCCAAGTGGCTTAGGTCAGGGGTATAGTCTAGGAGTGTTCAAATACATCTTAGGCATGCAAGAGTTGTTTCAGTTGCCCAAGGAAAAAAAAATAAGTCACGGAACAAACATATATCAACTGGAAGCCTAAGTTAACAGTATTAAACTACAGTCTAAGAGCTTGGCACTTAAAGAAAAAGACTCATTGAAAATAACTATAAATGTTATATATGACAAATATGTTTCTCACAATGAAAAAAAACAAACAATAATCTGTAATAATGCAGTTTAAAGAACTCTACAGACAGTAAGATTTTGTTACGCAGAGCACAAGGAATGAATGTAAGGCCAATTAATTCCCAATTTACATTTCTGTCATGTGTGTTTGTCAAGCTTATGCATCATAAGCAGGCTGGGACACATTAGTTATTATTGATTTGGTATCCTAAACTTTGTGTTTGATTTCAGAGCCACATTAAAAGCAGAAATTAAATAGCTCCTCTATATAAATTATGTAATGTAGCTCTTTGACAAGTTGCAACCCTGAAAGCAAAATAAATGAGTTGTATTCCATTTCAGTATCAATCAGGGCAACTGTCAGGGCTGGCAGTTAATTGTTAGACATTTAAATAAATAAAGCCTGAAAAGTAAAGCACGAACATGTTACAGAAAACTAAAGACAAAGATCAGACCGAGGAAAAATATAAATCCAAACTAAGGAGAGCTTTGCAATTATGGTACACCAGATGCACAGGACACATATGATCTCATATTAGGAATTAGCTTTGAAATAAGAGAGGAATTGAAGCATTTAAGGGTTGGAGATCATTAAAAATAGTCTAGCTTTTCTGCTGTTTTTTGCTATATGCTGACATCTACTGGAGAGTTTTAAAATATCATCCTTAAAGTCGATGTTTTTCCCTTAATAACTGAAATTTAGAATAGAAAAGTTGTCCTGTGGTGTTTGTTTTGACATGCTTTGACCACATATTAACAGTGTTATTATGCACACACTTGCACATGTATTAACAAGCTCAGATTATTGCTCAGCAATATCCATGCAGTCCTCTAATTCTCGTTTTCTGCCCAACGTGAAAAAAAATAAAAAGCAGTTCTGTTTCCTGTCAACCATTTCAGACCAGAAACCCTTATCTACCATGGTTCAGAGATGAAGATAGGGACAAAAAAAAGTGGACAACTGACTTAATCCTGGCACCAAGAGAAGTACTCAAACTTTTGAAAACTGCTCTTAGGCAGTTTTGGCAAACACAAACGATCTGGTTTTGTTTCTCCCACCCCCCACTAAAGACACGCTGTGCAGGATGCCTACGGTTCATTCCAGCGCCTTCCCCAGTAAAAGTCCAGGCACAGAAATAAAATGGAAGACATTTCAATAACCAATGGTTTTTGTTTGTTTATTTTACTTCCATTGGGCATTCTTGAAGAAAACTAGCGATAATTCAAAACACGCTTAGACCATTTGCTGTAGAATTGCAACAGAATCATGCTGGTTTGACTCAGTAAAATTTCTAAGTAACATTTAACCTTTTCTTGCCTATTCCATCTATAGTTTTACATAGTATTCTCTAATTTGAATGTATTTTTTGTTATGCATCATATTCCACAATTCTCTGTACCACTGACCAGTTGTTTACCTTTTCCTGAGTGCAAGAACTCAATCCTTACTCGTTTGTCTATCTTTGATGCTGTCATGGAATTTTGTTGATTTTTAATTCTTACTTCAGATGGAAATGATTGTATTTAGTCTATCTGCTATAAGATAACAGACTAAAATGCAAACACTGACTCTTATCAGAGTGCTCATTTCCACTTAGAGTATTTTTGTCTTCATATCACTTTGAAACACAAAAATTATCTCACTTCCTGTTCTTTCTTTCCTGAAAATAGTTTGACAGCATGTCTAATGTAGTTTCAATTTTTAAAACAGCCATCTATCCTGAACTTTCTTTCCTAGAATTTTCAAGGGAGAAGAAAAATAAAAGCAGATTAAGGTAATTTTATGGTTCATGTTCCACCTTTAGAATCATGCCTTATATTATTTGATGATCTTTTTTAGCCAAATTCTCTCCCATGCTAAGAAAGTTAAGCTCTTGGAAGTGAATTTAACATAATCAGTACCAAAGCTAAGTTAAATGAGTCATACTCCTTTTTCTACTCTTTAAACTACATTCCAAGAACCATGGCTACACATGGCAGCTTCCTCCGGTGTTTTAAAACACATACAAGGGATACTCCAGAAGCAATGTCTCCTAATTTATTATGTTGCTCCACGTGGTCAGAGGCAGACATTGTTGGTACGGCAGTAAAAGTTGAACCTTCCCACCAACATTCTGCTTGGCAGCAGAGGGGCAATGGCATCTGACATGGAAGTGCATGTGAAGAAAAGGGGTAGAGCTGATTCCCTTCGTGTAGAAAAAACTGCACCCACTGCCACTCATTAACACCTGCTGAACACTTAAGGAGACCAAACAGGGAATGTCATCACAATAAAGCAGTTGGTGGTACTTTTCAGCAGTGGCAACAGCAACATGAAAGACAAGCAACATTCCACACAACCATGAAGATTTTTACAAGCACAGCATGCAGGCTCTTGTGTATTTATTGCATATGAAAATGCAAAGCAAATGGTGGTGACTATGTTAAAAAATACTGTTTTGCAGTTGAGAGTTTGGTCTGTCAGTGTTATTCTGCTCCTTCTATCTACCGTAGCTTCCATGGAAATAAATAGGAGGCATTCGTTTTGGAGTGACTTACATAGTTAGTATCACCATTGGGTCCCATACTTTTGTTTCTTCTCTTAACAGTTTCTGAAAAGGCACAGGCTTTCCATACCTCTTGTACTGGCAAATCATCAGAATCTTACTATGGCACTTCTTCTGCTTCCTTCTCATCATCTCTCCCACTCCTATATGAAAGTTTTCTCCAAAGCACACTTGCCACTTGTGTAGCAAGTCCACATCCTTAGAATTTCTAAGCAACTCTTTTAGGCCTAAAATATATTAGGCCTATTTATTTATTTATTTATTTATTTTTACTGCCAGCCTATCAAACTCCAAGCTAAGACCGCCAGCGGCCATCATCAGCAACGTCAAAACTGACCTTGAAAACAAATAAAATGATTTCACAGAATCACTAAGGTTGGAAAAGGCCTACAAGATCATCCAGTCTAATCATCTACCTATCACCAATAGCTCTCACTAAACCACGTCCCTCAACACAACGCCTAAATGTTCCTTCAACACCTCTAGGGTCAGTGACTCCACCACTGCTCTGGGCAGGACTGACTGACTTACTTCCCAGACATTCCAAAACAATTAAGACATCCAAGTTTTTCAACAGGTTTCCGCTCTGTGTTTTCCTTATAACTACTTTCAGTATTTTAATGTAGCAGTGTTCTCAGTCGTACATCCTTGGCCACTGACTTGAAAAGCACAAGCTTTACTTATTCTGGACTTCTATCTTTCCAGTCCTTTGATATACTTATAAAATCTTTTTTTTAATTTTTAATTGTACCCAACAAAAATATGAACATTAATCAAAATACAGAATCATCAGCTCAGCGTATTTAAATCTTTCCTACCTACCAGTTGTATCCTGCCACGATGAGATCAAAGTTAAGAAGAGTTTTGTGTTTTCTATCTCCTCATGGATTCCCATGGTACTGACAGACTATTTAAAAGAAATAAAGCATAAGTATAAAAGACACTAGCACATATATACTTCAAAGTTGCAACAAAATCTTCTGCTTACCAGGTCTAACAAATGTTACACAAAAATTTTTTTCCTTAGGTTTTAACATCTACTTTTTGGTTTATTTTACTATTGAGGCTATATGAACACCTCCTGAAATTACAAGGCCTCTAATCTGCACTATTTCATGAAGACACATTCTACAAAGCATTTCCCTAATAGATATACAGCTGTTCATCCAAATGCACTGACACTATGAGATGCACTGAAACCAACCACAACCCTGACTTTTTAGCAAATTACACTTACATTATGAAAAATAAACAATATTTTAACTTCTGAGGAAATACTGAAAGTCATGTTTTAAGGCTTAAAGCAACATTTAACTGCTAGAGGCTATGACAGGAATAATGTAAAGGAATTTGTGCTGTGGTGTTTCCTTGAAGAAGACATGAGAACATCTCCAGCTGCTCTAATAAGACAAAGTACCAAAGCAGATTACCTAAGAACTAGAACATAGTATTATTCTAACCTTAAGTTCTTCCCAGAGCTTTGCTCTCATTTCCTTGCCTTGTTTTTTAACTGCTCTCTCTTTAACATGTCTTTTTGCCAGTATTGTGTCAAGCTTATTCATTTTCCTTATAGCTGCTTGAATCTGAGGATCTCCTTCTGCCTTTTCAGAATCCAATAACTTGGAAGAGTTTGCTGCAGGTTAGATTTTAAATTGTTAGCTTGATATACTTCAACTTACAACAAACCAACAAAAACCCACAGTACAAGTAGCTTGATAACAACTGTAGATGAAAGCACAATTATTCTTAAGCAGAGAAAAACAAAGTCTTTGTAAAAGGTTACTGAATCAAACTCTTAACTGTAGCAACCGGATATGAGGTGGGGGAAGAACACCCCACTTTGGGCAACCAGTTTAAACTTCACTGAAGAGTGACTGTATTTCCAAAGTATCAACAATAGTGGCAGACAAAATAATAGAACAACTCAAGTTTTTCTTTCATGACAGCTACTAAAATACATGTTGAAATGTCCTTCATTAAAGTAAATAATTATGCGGTTGAGAGAGACAGTAATACCTCTTCTTCTAAATGTTATAGGAGATCTAATCTCGACTTCTATCTCAAATAAAGCAGAATCTGTTACTGGTTCTAGACAATATTTCTTTGACAAGAAATGGTGAAACATTATAGAAACTATCATTACTTAATCAAAATGCATTTCTGTTTTGTTACTTTTTTTCTTAAACATGCAGATTTCTATTTCTGTTCATTTTTAGCCTTTTCTCTTCCTACAGCATCCTTGTACTCATCTCCCTTTTCTGGTAGAAAAGCTTCAGTATCAGAAGACACATTTGTAGCACTGCTCCAATCCCACAGACTTTCAAATTTGAGTCCTTGCATTCTTTTTTCATTTTCTAATGTTTATAGGTCAAAAGCTTTAAATGGTGCATTTGACCCCAAACATTCACCATAACACATCAGTCTACTTCATGGTGCAAAAAAAAAAAAAGATGAGTGACATAACAAGGAGCGAGTTGTACAGAAGTAGCCAAGCTCCAGGGAAGCACCTAGGAGAAAAGGTAATCAGTCACTTATTTCAACCGGACTGAACTCTGCAGATGGATTTGGATCTAAATTACTAAGTGAAGGTTTGAAGCTGAACTCTATGTGATTTCTGTTCTGAAGCAAAGACTATTATGTGAGATGACCGACACTGCTGCACTAGATAGAGCCACCACTGGATTCTACTTCCTTAGCAGACTGACCAAATCTACATAGTACACAGACACTACCACATAGCCAAATTAAATAACCTTTAAACAAATAATCTATAACCTCTTGAATGCGACAATGCATAAATATTTTCGAAGAATGCTCACATGAAAATTAACATAAAAGAAATTTACTGCACCACACACTTCATAAAGCAGAAAATACCTTCTTTTGCATTACTTATTTTTCCTTGGGAAGGTTCACAAAATACTGAAGTCTGTGTCTCATCTCCAGAATCTGAGTTAGAGACATATCCTGAAAAACACAGGAGAAAGCCTTTCACAATTACATAGACGTGAAAGAAGCTTTTCAAGTGTTTGAAACACTGACAACTAAGGAAACAAATTTTTTGTCAGTGTGAGATTGCCACTGAGATTCTATGGTGAATAACTCTCTCAAGGAGGAAAAAAAAAAAAAAAAAAAAAAAAGAAAAAGTTACCTACTACTACACTTGAGCTCACGTTTAACCCAGGAGCAGAAATTACCATTATCTTTGAAAAGTTGGATAAAACACTTTATTGAAAATACTTTCTATCATGGTTTCATGGAACAAATGCGTATGATTTCTTCTCATTTTTTAGGCCACCAACCAGGCACAGGCCACAGTTTTAGATGCCACAAGGCATATGCTGCGTTATCACAGCTATTACAATTGTATTTCAAAGATGAGACTCAAAATAATGAAGGCATGAATTTCGACACCATGACCCCCTTTCTCTTTTGGAATTTCACTTGTTTGCATACAGTGCTCTCTATGCTCCAGAGAGCATAGAATTTTTGCATAGAATTTTATGCAAACCATAAATATATGGTACTTAGTCTAGTCACATCACAAAGAAATGGAAAGCTTTTCCACACCAGACAACTCGCTGGGATTCAGCACGCACTCCTGAAAAACGGTCATGCTCTCTACTTCCTTGATATCACAGGTCTCCCCCACCATCACCTTTGTTTTCTTCTAGACAGCAGTCTTCCAAGCTTCTTTGATGACTAACACCCAAACTGACAGGTGAACCAACCTATGAAATACAAATCAGTCACTACCATATAAACAAAAACCTTGGGGGGGAAGAAGGAGATAATCACACTAATCACATATCATTACAAAGGCTAATAATGCTTCTACACAAGACTCAAAGTAGCACTTAAACAAAAAATTCAGATGAGAGTTCTGCTTCTTAGATATCACACTAGTGAATTTGTTTTCTTAGGCTCAACATTTTATAGACTCTTGGACTAGGAAGGAACTCTGAAGATGCATACTAGTTCTGCTACGGCACAGTACAACCAGTATATACAGCCAACCAGTCTGCATATACAACAGCCTCACTCATTTCCCACTTGTGGGCACTCTGCACCAGGCAGCATCTCCACCTCTTGCTCATACTATTGAGTTTTTTCTCCTCTTTAAAAGGCTGATATGCTTGTATCTAATTCATCAGTCTCAAGAGATGGCAATTTTCATGCAATTGGTTAGGATGCTTAGGTTAAGAACGTGGACTCAAAGTTATCTGATGGTATCCTCAAAATCTGACTGCGAACCTACAAAAAATTATTTTAATGCATTTATGAAGCATCTAGGCATGATGCCTAGAGCAGCTGGATGAATGCAAGTACTACACTGTGGGATATAAACTTAAGTAAATCAACTTAAATCTCAAATTCTCAAGTCTCAGTCCCTACATCTTAAAAACTGTATCACATAAATCTATTCCCAAAATTAAGTTAATCCCAGTTGCCAGTTTTCTCAGAGAATGGACAAACATCTTACTTCTTATGGAATTTATTACATTCCTGGAGCTGATCTGCAATTCTTGGAATATTATGATTTTTATTAAAAAACAAAACAAACAAAAAAACTTTAAATGGAATATATTCTGTAATCCGATTGAATATATAAAATCATAGAATCACCAAGTTTGGAAAGCACCTCTAAGTTCACTCAGTCCAACCATCCACCTGTCACTAATATTTCCCACCAAGCCATGTCCCTCAGTACAACATCTGGATGTTTCTTGAACACCTGCAGGACCAGTGACTCCACCACTTCCCTGGCAGCCCTTTCCAGCGGCGGACCACTCCTTCAGAGAATAAGTTTTCCTAATATTCAACCCAAATCTCCACTGTTGCAACTTGAGGGCATACAGTAGAATGCAATCCAATTCCCCAGACTGCAATGCTGAACAGACCTTTCTGCAGCCATCTTAATGACTTAGAAAAACCAAATGAAACATTATTCTGCAGGCAGAAGGAGCAGCCAGCACTCACAGCCCTTTGCACAGCCACAAACCCCAGAACTCTCTGCAAAGCTAGGAGAGCAGAACTTCATTTCTTCAATGTTCTAACAAGAAAAAAGGAAGCAGCTAAAAGTAACAAGAATTACCTTTGGCAAAAAAGGTTCTGGTGCCAGTAACTCCACAGAGACACTTAAACGCCTGCAGCTGGGGTAAGCTCTTGAGCTACATGCAGGCTGTGAAATTTTATCCAAGCTCCCCCTTGTCATATCCATTGGGACCTAAAACCTGAAGGGAAAAAAACAGCAAACAAACAAAAACCAACCAACTGGCGACACAAACAAAACAAAACCCACCACCTTCCAAGCTCACAGTCTGTTAGTAAAACAACTCGAGCCCACTTCAGGTGTAGCTTAAACAGATTTCAAACAATTCAACGCTGAGAGATCTTTCTGCGCTCCAGTTCGCCGCTCAAACACGCAGCTTTTATACGAGTACAAACACAAAGCAGCAGGGCAATCAAAGCATCCAAAAGTGCTTACTGACTAAAACAATCCCCGCCAAACTGCACACATCTCATAAGGAACCGCGCAGCCCCGCTCGCCACAGCAGCCCCAGGCGCCGCCTGCAGCGCCGCGCGCTGGGCGGCCGTTGGTGCGCGTGCTCCCCGCAGGGCGGGGGGGCCGCCGGCGTTACCCGGACGGCGGCTGCCGTTGCCATGGCGACGGCCCGCAGACACCGCGGTCGCGAGAGCTGCAGGCGGACGCAGAGAGCGGGCGAGTTGCTTTTCCTGCTGGCGGCGGGTCCAGCCTGCACGCGCGGCTTTGTGGTTGACCTGTACAGAACTGAATGGCTGCTTTAAGTAAACTCATTAGAACCAACCCTGAGATCACTGTTATTTACGAGGCTATTGACTGTTAGTAAGGAGCTGTAACTGGAGAGTGCCATTACCTAACGTTCTATCCCCACCCCACCTTTTTATTGTCTACATTCAAATAGGATCTGAGGATTAATCGCAGTGCTGTGACCAACCGGTAATTCTCAAACCTCTTACCTATAACGCTCAGGGAAAAAATAAATATTTCTAATGACCGTTGAAATTCCAGCAATAGCGCACCCAGGGACAGGACCTGAGAGCAGCCCAACCATCAGAGCCCTCTGAGCCCCAACACGGCTGTTTGCTGCAGCGCGTGCCATGCACTGCAATGAGCTCAGCAGGGTGGCAGCAGAAGATCAGGCCACGAGCCTCCAGTCCTCTTCTCAGAGATGAGTTTCTGTAAACATCATCAAATATTAAAGAACCTGAAATATTATTACAGGTGGCAAGTATATTCATAATGAAGCTTGAACTAGTGAAGCAGAGAAAGTATGTAATTTTCTTTTTTGCCTTTTTGGGAGTATGTCAGTTTTGTTCCATGATAGAGACTTATCTGAAGAATGATGGGAAGAGGGAGGGAGAGGAGACAGACTCAATCAGAGAAAACTGTTTAAATAGAGCGCAACAAGAAAAGCACTCCAAACTGTGCTTTTTAATCCTACAAGACAGATTACAGCATCTTGAAAACACATTTAGACAAGTTGTCTCCATACTCAGAACACGGTCACCATAGCAACAGAATTCGTTTATCCTTTTCTCCCTAATCCAGTCAAGGAGAAAAACAAATGAGGGGGAAATGCAGGAAACTTGCTCTCCATGCCGCTGCCTCCCTGCTGCTATTCATACTTCTCAGCAGCATTTTGCTACACAAACAGGCAGCCAAAGCACTACCTTCATTGGCTTACAGGGAGGATGATAAATCACAACTTTGTTTAACACCAACTAGTTACTGGTCTTCGATATTTTACATTTTCTTTATGCGCTCACCTGAAGTAGCATCTCTTTACAACAGGCGAAATATTTAAGGCAGATTCCACTACTCAGATCAGGACAAACAAACATATTAACTCCCCATGTTAGGGGAACAGATAGGCTCTTTTCTTGTGAAAGACCAATTATGTTCTCCTGACTGGCTTGCGCCAAGTCAAGGGCAAAACATCAGGAATTCTAGGTTGTATTTTGACACCTCCAGAAATCCCTTTGAGGATGAGCAGCGTTCAGTAGTATACCCCACCAGTAGGAGCACTATAATAGTACCTTGCCAGATGAGCAAGAAAGGCTGAACAGGAATGCTGAATCCAGAACCATTGGTAAAATTCATGTGGTGCCTAATAAATCCAGATTTTCATTCTTTGATTTGCATTAGGAAAGGTCCTGTCTTCTGTTCTGCCTCACCTTTCTCTGGAAACCAGCAGAGTATAGAAGCAGAAGTCCAGAGCAGTTTGCACTGCACTGCGTTGGTGCAAGGGGCCTGGAGCAAGGAGATCCTCCAAGTCCCTGAGCAGGGAATGTGATCCAGGCAAAACTTACAGGTCTTGGTTGCACAGAAAATGGAGGTACGGGAAAAAAAAAACCCTGCTTATAAGCACAATGGAATTTTTCAAATAAGTCACCATCTTGGTGCATTATCTTTAGTTATAGTGATGTCACATTACAGCTATGTTGAGAAACCCTCGCCTTAGCAAGCATATACTTAGGAATTGGATCTGACTTCATGTTTGTTCTGCTTTCTTTAAAGAAAGTCCACTTAAGGAACAAGAGAGCTGCTCCTATGTACACACAGACAAGCTTTCATTGGAGCTGGAAAATGCTTCTGCATCCCACTCTTTGTTGTTCCTAAAGAAAGCAAACAAGAATATGTCTCTGAGCACTCTTTGCTCCCTTTGCACACAGGAAACTTCTGGCTGCTTCCTGCTGATCTTGCTCTGTGGCCTTCCACAGCTGCAGAGAAATCAGCACCTGCACCTGGAGTCCTGCAGCTTCCCACAAGATGTGCTTTGTCTTGTATTCCTGAACTGTCCTTGAATTATGAATGATTGAAGACTGCACTCATTTTATGCTTGCCATTTGATAATTAAGGACCTTGTTATAACTCATTTAGAAATCCTGCTAATAGCTCTACTTCGACACAAAGAATGTCACTGCAAATAAAATAAGAAGTGGTTTTAGAAGAGATAGAAGTGTTCTAAAGTGTTTAAATGCAATGACTTCACCCATGCTTTTTTTTTTTTTTTTTTTTTTCTGGGAGGAGTAGGGGGGTGAGGGTAACCTCCTATGTCCAGAAGAGAAAAACAAAAACAAACAAAACCACCTCATTAATTATATCAAATCCTCCACAGCTTAAAGTATGCCTACACAATAACTCAAGTAAGATGAGATGGCAGGGATTTCGCTTTTCTAAAGTTGACACCTGTTACCCAATCCTCCAGTGCAAGGTCAGAAGGCAGGAATTTCGGCTGGGTTCTGTGGGACATGCAGTTGCCTCCAGAGCAGGTTGGTTGGTTGGTTACCTTCACAGCAGCCATGGGACCTGCTGTGATTCTCAGCACTCCTGAGCTGCGAGCTCTCTTACCTTTCTGTCCACTCTTTGCTGTACAGCTCACTCATATCTTTTCCCAGGAAACAGAAAGCAGAATTAGACTAGAGAAATCCAAACAGATTTTTCTGCAAAACCTTATCGATAGATACATTTTGAAGTACCCTTAAAAACATAACAAATGCATTCATTAAATTACCACAGTTTCATAACAATTAGATCTGTTGGTAGCTACAGTCTGGAACACTTGGGGAGCTTTTAGAAAACTGCTTTTCTCTGCACATTTATCCCATTGTGCAAAATACAGTGTTGCAAAGTAGCCAACCAACATAGCTTTATTTGGTGCTGAAAGACTGTTTTTTCAATTTTTACATCAAGTTTATTTGAATTTAACAATATTTTCAAAACAGTACATTGACATGGTTCCCTTAAGTCTTTTTCTCCTTTTAAAAGATTCCTTCGTTTAATATGAGCTCTGTTTTCCATTTTTCATCTCTAAATGGCGGAAAAGTGATTTCCATCTTTCCTTCAAGTTTATTATCCAGAATTAAGATTTATCCTTTGAATCCATTTTCACACAAATCACCCAGGCTTTCCTTTCTTCTGCTCCCACAGCTTCATTTGGCACTTTACTTTCTTTCACCAGTAATCAGGAGAGAAAAATGTATCTTAAAAACAACCGTTACAATAACAACTGCTATTCTTTAGTACAATAATAAAGAATAAAACAAGTCTTGGTGGTTTTTTTTCCTACTGAATACCAAAGAACATTTTGTCTGGTAGAAATTGTTGGAACAACAAGCCAACAGCAGCAGAGTCTCAAAGGTACCACTGCCTTCAAGGAAATCAAACTGTACAAGACAAATATTCTGTCTTGCATAAGGCATCTCCTGAATTACTTTTCTGATTACAGATCTCTATAGAAGATGCATTATGAATTTCACAGATATTTTTTGTTCTATGCAAAGATGGGCTTCTATGTATTTTTCCCATTTCTCCTAAAAACTCATACAGATAAACTGATCAAAATAAAATCATATTACCTGTTATATTCCAAAATAATTTCTCAGGAAGGAATAATAATAAAAAAAACTCCACCTTAGTTAATTTCTGCTTAAAAAAGAAACAAACAAAAAAACAGAAACAAAAAGTCCTGCATACAGTTTTTCATATCTGTCCTGTTTGAAAGAAATTTTGTCTCAGAAGTCCAAAATCAACACAAATATCTCACTTTCCAGATATAGAATTAAATTCTATTCAGTTTGGCTTTTCAAATTTACCATCAGCATTTCATTCAACATAAGAGTTGGAAGGGACAATACTGAGTTTGTTTTCCTCAGAGGAAGTTTCAATCCAAGTAACCATTTACCCACATTCATCAATCAGAAAGACTCTGATCAGTGCTTATGCATAAGCAGGCCGTAAATACTGAATTTATTCTAAATTCATAAGGACACTGTCTTCTACCTTGCTTTTAATGTTTGGGGCATGTCTTTAATGGACTCTTTATTAATTAAATTCAAAAATACATTTTTTTTTTAATCAGTACTTAAAAAAACCTGTATGCTATGATCCTTTACTACCCCTGTCACAGAAGGAACAGCTTTTCCTGCATTATTTCTTCTGCCTGTTCTCAGTCTAGTCATCATCTGCTTAGCATGGCAGCTTGGGTTCCCACCATCCATCTGCACCACTGAAGACTGCTCTTCCACACTGGGAAGTTCTTGAACAAACAGTGAAAACCATTTTCACAGTAACTGAGAATTTTTCTTTTTTTTTTTTTTTTTTTTTTTTTTTTTAATTGAAGCATTTGCTTTGAGTGTCTTATAGAAATCCATCACCTCAAAGCTAGTAGAAGCAGCTGACTTGCTCCTACTCCTCAAAGGAAGAATACGCACATCTACAAATTCTGCCTTAGCACAATTTTTCCCACACTTCTAACAGTAATCAATTGGATTTGGCAAGTTACTGTGAACTCAGCAAAACAATTCACCTTGTCCCTTCAAAAAGCATTCTTTAAAGAAAAATACTTTCCCAACAGGCAATAATGACAGGTAAAGATCCAGCATACACCAAAGGGCTACACTACAGGAGAATCACGAGGAGTGCTGGGTGTCACTTGTGTTTTCCAGTTTTTCTCACCCAGAGTCAACAGTGAATGCAAATAAAAAAAGAAGGAACAACTAACTTGCAACTGACCAAAGGATTACAGCTGGGGTGACAATAATTTCCTGGTCATTTAATAGACAGGTACATTTGAAATTCACACAGTACTGAGGAAATGACAAGTTTGGGAGGATGAGCTGCAGAAGGATACAAACAGAGAGCTATCAAAGCACAGCTGGTACACTGAGACCAGGGATGGCTGACTTTGACTTGATCAGAAATTAGGCACCAGATTCAGAAGTCTCATGTTCATACACGGGTTGATTGAGTCTGTGAGACAAGTGGAATACGATAGCTGGTATTTATGTTGGTGAAGGTAAAATGAAAACCTCACTAACAATACTGAGCCACAGCATTAGCAAACCTTGCCTTTTGGGGTCCATAATCAGCTTCCACACTCAACAATTCAGTACAAGTCTGTAAGCAACTCCAACTGTTTTCTTCCATTTGCTACCTTTCCCACAAAAAAAAAAGCTCAGTGAACCAGTAGATAGGAGTGAATTTTAAGGGCAACCCTTTGCTTATGTACACAATACTCACAGAATACTGTTGGGACATTTGTATATATCCTTTATCATAAGATCAAACGTTACATTTATGCCCCTGGCATATACATTCTTGTTTATTAGGGTCAGGCTTCTCCAGTACAGTTTCTACTTAGAACTACAAGAACGATTTTTAAAAAAGAAATGCTATTTCTGAATCCGTCATCCTCGGGTTTGTGACACACAAGACAATTTTGGTATCCTTGGCTTCGCTGAAATTTTGAACACAAAAAATATTGATTTAAGTTTTAAAAAGGTGTAGTTTAGCAGATACTTGCTAAATAACCTGTGTAAGAGTCCAGCAAGTTTTACTTTTAACACTGATTTCAGAAACTGGCTTAATAGATATACTTCATGGTCCTCCTCACTTCTTTAACAAAACGTGCAGAAGAAGCTTGCTGGGTCTGCTAATGTGAGGTTAGGTCTTATCCATCTTGTATCCTCTCGTGCTCCCTATAGCTTTTCCTATTAAGCTTCTTCAATATCCAGACCATCTTAATATAAGAAGGTTCCCAGCAAACTGACTGCCATATTTCCATACTTCAGCCATAAGAAAACTGTTCCCAAAGCCACATGTACTTTCTGAAAGCTCATCAGGAATGTATTATCATAGGTATTTCACAAATAAAAACAAAAATCGTGATCTTTCAATATATTACTTTCACGAAACCATATGAATAAAGAACACCTGTATGCATATTTCCCTTTTGTTTGTTTAATTACACTTGACACACACACAAAAAAAAAAAATCAGCCTGTAACAGATTTCAGCACAGCAAAGATCCATGGGATCACACATATAAGTTTAGGTGACCTTTGTCAGTCACCTATTCCTCCTAAGAATCCACCTTGGGAAAGATACTGACTTTATTATTTCTGCTGATTTTTCTTTCTGCTTTACACTTTGGCTGCTTTGTCTGGATTAGCTCTTCAGGGGTATTCCCCAAAGGAGGCAGGAGTCGCTTCTTACTATTCCGACTTTCTGACAGCCACTGAGGAGGCAGCTCAAAGGGTCCAAAACCAAAATGCATGGAATACTTGTCATTTCCCGTATCAGTTTCTGCAGGCACAGCTGGTGCCACCTGAGCTGCAGAGTCTGCAACCGTCTGTGGTATAAATCTGTGAATCGAAGTCTGTCCTACTTTTGAACTGGTGACAGGAATTTCTTTCTGCTGAAAGTCACTAGAGCCAACAGATTTGGTTTCATTCTCCTCGTCTTCTGTTGGCTTGAAGATTTGTTGCTGCCCAATATGAAACATCTCCAGAAGCTGGCTCCCTGAACGGGCACTGGGCTCCAGATTAGCATCTGCAACACCACCTGAGCTGACAATGTTTCTCCTGCTGTACCTCTGGTGCAGCTGTACTATCATCCCCACTAAGCACTTTCGTACAGATTTGTTAACAGTTAAAAATAACAAAGGATTGGCTAACAAAGAGACCTTGGGCAACCAAATGGCAGTGAGAAGCAGAAAGACTGAAATATCTGAAACATTGAGTATGGTACGGTAAATCACCAGAGTCACATAGGGGATGCTGCAGAAAATAAATATCACAACCATAGAAAGCAGCATGGCATGAAGCTCAGCTTCTCGCTGGGAGGCGTAAGGGATTGAAATTGTATTCTGAGGGGTTCTTAAGGCAGCTATGATGACTTTTTTCTTCTGGCTGGCACTCAGTGCCCTGCGAATAAGAATCATGAAGAGAAATACCACAGCCACTGGTACAATCACAGTGGTGATGTTATAGATGACAACGTAGATCAAGTGGCCAAGGGAGTAACTCCAGGATTCAGAGCAGGTGGACATGGCATAAATATCAGACACATTGGTCACAGCAAATACTGGAATGCTGGCCACTATTGCATGGGCCCAGATGTAGATAACCAGGTCTCGGGATTTTGCATCAGTTATTTTTCTTTCCAGAGGGTATAAAACAGAGTAGTATCTGTTGGGGGGAAAAAAAAGAAAAAAAACAAACAGTCAATTTTAGAGCATGTGCTTTTGAGAAGTCTCTCACAAGCTGTCTGAGCAAAATGCCCTACATCTCTCACTGAGCTTCCAACTGATGATCTCGTCATAAAAGAAAAGCACAAGGGTCTTGGCTTTGTGGTTAGGTCTGTAGAAAAAGACTGAATATTTATATTTCAAGATTACAAAAATGGTAAAAAAAAGAATGTTTTATGTTGATGTATGAACATTATTAAGAAAAATGACATTATACTGCACATAATACAAATGTACATTACAGAGAATATACTGTACTTATCAAGTTATTAACATTAGCGTTACTAGCTATAAAGTTTGCTTTATATAGCTAACACTTTGCAGTGACACGTTAGCAGACTAACAATAATTTTATCTAATTGTATGTAAATCCCACTGTTTTAGTAGTATAAGCTTCATAACAACAGTGTCCACCCTTCCTTAATAATACCTTACAGCCACTCTCAGGATGACAGAGCTGTGCATTTAGGTGGAATCAATGACAGCTAGCAACAATAAGCAAAATAAATACAACTCTAAGACTCAGGCAGTCCAAATGTCCACTTCTGTTTTAGACTGATCCACATACAAAATTTCCCTGAATTAATTCTGGCTGTATTAATAGCAGCTTTTTTAAAAATAATTTTTTTTTAAAAAATAGGTTTTAAATTTGAAATTGGACAACCTACCACAGGCATTGCTAAATTCTTTTAAGATGCAATGGCTTTCAACTCTCACAGTTAAAAATGTGCACTTTTCCTATAGTCTGAAGTTGTCTGGCTTCAATTTCCGTTACTGACCAAGAAATATTAACAGGAAAAAAAGAAGGGTTAAAAACTCCTTTGAAGACAAATTTTTAGTCTCAAAGTACTTCATAGGGCTGAAAAACAAAGCTTATCAAGGATTATCATCCTGGAGAATTTAACCTCTTACCTGTCAAGAGCAATGGCTGGAAAACTAAGAATGGTCACTGAGCAGAAGACTTTGTGCAGAAACTTGGCAATTTTGCAGAAGAGCATCGTGTAGATCCACCAGCAGCAGTGTGGACTGGCACTAAGAACAATGTCAAAAGGCACACAAACTAGGCTGGCACAAATACCCGAGCAGGCCAAATTCTTAATGAATCGGTTTGTTACGGATTTAAGTACTGATGTTCTGCAAGTTGACCACAGCACCATGATGTTACCTGTGGGCAGAGACAGGAACAATAACAAAGCAAACAAACTCAGCCAAATGAAAAAGAAATCCATCCCTCCTCCTCCTCCCTCTCCCCTCCCCCCCCGGCCCAATAAAAAAAAAACACCTAGTAATTTTAATAGACTTGGATGTTCTCACATAGTGCAAATAAAATGCACTTGTTTGGAGTTTACTAGGAGTTAGGCCAACACACTGCTCAGACTAACAAGTCTGAACAACTGCTAGCATCTCTGTACGCGAGGTAACTGGAAGCAATAGCACCTCAGCTGCCTTCAGTAATTAACTCCAAAAGTCTCTAATTCATTAACTGCGTAGGAAGCATATCCAAAACATGCTTTCAAATGTTTATGTTGACTCATGCATGAAATAAGACATTCCGAGTATCCAAATACAGATATCTGCTGAGTGTTCATTTTAATAATTACTGCCTTTTTTTTTTTTTTTTTTTTTTATAAAGACAATAGATTCTAAGTAAACAAATATAAAGACATGGTATTAATCTGTGTGTCTGTGTGGAAGTAGATCACAGCAATTTCATTTTGCTTCCACTGGCCAATGTAGTGGCACACACAGACCTCTGGGAAGTCACATCCAAAAGAAATATGATTTTTTTTTCAAGAGATTCTGTATATACATTACAATGCACCACTAAACAAATAGGAAAAGAAAAAAAAAAAAAAAAGGCTACACACAACTTCACTAAAGAACCCAGAGAATGCAATCTGCTCTCTTGGATAATCCAGCCCTACATATTTCTTTCAACTAGGAAATGAAGGATGGAGAGAAACCAGCATTAGCTAAAATACTTATTCTCATATCATTGTATCTTAGTCTATCTGGATCTCAGGGAGACATAGCACAACTTAGAAACCAGTTTTCCACACTCCAAATGCACACTATATGGTCCTGTGGACCAAATGAGCTTTAAGCATATAAAAGGAGTCCCAGAGCCACAGGTAGCTGGCACCAGAAATCAGGAACTTGTCTTCAGTGAGCTCAGCTCCCCAAGACAACACACACAGTGCTGCACTGCACACTGCAAGCAGGGTACCTTTTCTGCTTCTGCTCATGGGAGACATCCCTCACCCTCATCTGTGCAGACACTGGTAGGGACATTAAGAAGAGAGAAGGCAGCAAGCAGCACACAGCAGCTTCTGCCCTCATCCTCCCGGCACTGCCCTCCCCTCCCCTTCCCAGGCACGTGGTGCACTGCAGCTGCAGTACCCGAGCAGAATAGTTTCTGCCAGTGCAGCTGAGCAGGCACACAGATAACCTGGCTGCAGCTCTCCACCCACACTGCACAAACATGGTTTAGTCTCACGCTTCAGCACTTACAAAGTAAATTTTTTAGTGCTGTCTTCAGACAGAGTCTCTAACGACTCAGCAGCAGGAAATACAGATTTTCAGCACTAAAAGTGCTGAAAGTGGAACATGGTAGAAGAACATGGTAGTGGAACATGGTAGAAGAACTTACGGTGGTGCAAGACAACCACCGTAAGTTAGAAGCACTTATTTTTGAAGTTACATGTAAGGTTATGTATTTCTAAGCAAGTTGTTCAGTTGAAACTGAAAGCTGCCTAATGTTACAGCTAAACATTTCTCACACAAACATCATAAAAGCAACAAAACAAATGCACCAGCACAAAAACACTTATTTGATAGGACAGCCCCTTTTACACTACTGCAGCTGGACAACACCTAGAGTTGAGCTTCCTACTGGCAAGAAAAGTCATTCTCACTGCAGGCTGTATCAACAGCTGTTTGTTGTTAACAATGTATATTATTGACAATGGAAGCTCCTCTGAGTTGAAACATAGTTGATTAATGAGACCGACAGATTCGCTAGTGTTTCAACTGGGTAAGCAATATACACCCTGAGAGAAAACATCTTACGCTACTAACTGAGATATGAAAAAGTAGCTGCAGCCTCCCGCAAACAATGGCAATACCATTCTTTGGCTTGATTTTTCTCTTTAATCAACTAAAAACAAATAAGAATGAAGATTTTATTTGCAGAGTACAGCTTTCCCGTGGTTGCCCACAGAACAAAAATGCCAACAAGAACATAATGGTCATGTGGTCAACATGCATATCAAAAAGAGACAAACAAAAACAAGTACCAAGAAATAACAGACAAATTTAGCTTCTTGGTAAAGTTGTACCATTTCAATAAAAGCGCACAGAATTAGCACTGAACTCTACCTCACAGACATGCTATTTAAATCCGCAGTATTTAAATGTCATTTGCAATTTTATTTTCCACATACTGTGTCATTCATCTTCTGCAAATTCCTTTTTGATATCTGACAAAATATTGAGTTATGTATTTACCACCTGCTGTATTTTAAAGAATGAAATTCTCATCTGGTTTTGGCAGATGCTACAATAGATTCAAGAGGCAGTATTCAACCCATTTACTTAATGCTTCCTAAGTTGCTATGAGATATTAAGTCAGTCAAATCCCTGGCTTTCAACAAGTATCTCTAACTCTCCAGTTATTCAAGAAATATTTCTCACAGAGTAATAATATATTATTACAATGCAGTAGGGAAGGTACTGTTTTCTCTCTCTCTTTTTTTTTTTTTTTCTGTATCAATTGACCTGCATTGATTTTATAACCTTATTTCCAAAGCAAGCTTCAACTTCATTAGGAATAAATGCAAAGTGGAAGGGAAAAAAAGAACCAAACAGAGGGCTTTTAAATAATTCTTTAGAAGCTGCTAAAGAAAACCCAAGACACACTTCAGGATCGTAGAGAGAAGCTTGATTAAAGATTCTAGTTTTTCAACTGTTGAACTACTTTGACAAATTATGTCATAGCCACTTACACATCACAGAGCCACAAATCAATGAAATTGACTCTGGTACTCACTTATCCTAGATGGAAACGAAAAAATAAAGCATAAGATATAGTGCATCCAAGATGAGGAAGGGCTCTTCAGACAGAGAGAAACAGAGCTTGAAAAGGGAAAAAAAAAGGATAAGCAGTGCTCTCTGGGGACAATGGAAATTAATGAGTGAACATCCCTCAAGGAAACAACTTCCTCCTCCCTTGCAGCTATGAGTAATTTGCAAATTTATAAGCCACTCTGACCTGATGAACCATATCAGTTTCTGTGTAGACTGACAGCCTTTTCTGCTACAGCTTTCAAATAAAGTGTTTCCCATCATGCATTTTCAAAGCCACCTACTCAAGAGAAAAAATTACACCAGAAACTTCGTATAGAATCAAATATTAAGAAGCTTAAGAACAAAGCACGCTCCATTTTGTTCCTCCTCACCTTTGAGAAGGCACTCCTTCCTTCTCCATCCCGATCCACTCTGTGGAAAAGGATAACAGCCTTCCAGGCAACAAGGTAATTCAACAAGTATTACAGCAATTGCACTTGGAATCCTTTCCCATTATGTAGAGCCACTCTGTTCTTTCTGGACAAGTCATTCACTGCTGAACCCATGAAAGTCACCAATCTAATGATACCCTCCGTGGGCTATGACTACATTAAGCAGTTCACACAGTGGACAAAACTGCCATTTCTTATCGGGGGCTCTTTTCTGAGGTGTTTCTGTTGAAAAACTGGCTCAGGGCTACATAATCTTGGATTCTAAACTCAAGAATACATGGGATTATATTGGTCAGCTGGGAGACACTGAGGGAATGTCTGGGTGAATAAGCAATTGGAAAATTTAGTATGTTGCTGTTTACTTGCAAGTCAATGCCAAATGGGACATGAGGAGCATTTATAAACCATCATGTGTGAGAAAGCATATCCATATTGGTTGCAAAGAAGATAAAAAGTGTTTTTTTCATTCCCAAAGAAGTATCTTAGGTCTTTATAGCTTTATGGGCTACATCTACATTGAACTCCTACTACGTCTGGATGGCTAACAACCTTAGCAGTACGCAGGCTGAACGAGAAGGAGGGAAGCATACAGCTTCTGTGTGCCTTTGACAATATCTCCAGGTAAAGAAGAATAGGAAATAACTAACAGCAACCACTGCATGAGAAGCAGCTCTTTTCATTTTAGAAACGAATGTACGTATAGAACCTGACAAACAAAGTCATTTTATTCTCTTGTATCATAAATATTAATAATTTCATGAAAACCTCCATGTGCCAATTACACCATATTCAGATTGAAAGAGTGATTGTTTCTAGTTATCCCCTTCATTTTTTAACTGAGAAACACCACAACTAGGCAGCCGTGTAATATACACAACTTCACATAAGTACGCTGAGAAAACAGATTGAGGAATAGTCTGACACACTGTGCTGCCCAGACAACACCCAGCCTTCATGGTGTTTTAAGTTCACCGTATGTACACGGAGTCATGTTCTTGGACTATTAAACGTTATTAGGGTGTGTGTTATTTGATTCAAAAGAGCAGAAAATTACTTCTTATCCCAGACTGTACCCTCTTCAGATTTCATGCCAGATACAAAGTGTTGATTTAGGCATCAACAGCTGAAACAGTTTTGCAGTAATAGCTCTTAGGCGTAATTCATAAAAGGTAAGAGACTCTTAATAGTACCTTTAAAAAGCAGAAGGATGATCCCCATGGAAACCAGAGTTTGTAATGCAAAATAAATCAATTTGACATGCAGCCATCCAAAAAAAAAAAAAAAAAAAAAGAAAAGAAATATTGCTCTTTGCCAAATCAGAGAGCCCAGTCCATTAGCTGGTATGAAAATCATCTCACATAATTAACATTCATCAGCACATAACTAAACCAAACCAAAGTCCACAACCTAACAAAATCCTCCTTCTCATAGCTTGCTCTCCTCTGTGTGCCAATTTTCCCCTCCATCTACAGTGGGGTTCACAGGATCCACACATCCTTCCCACCACAGATCCTCCTGAAGACCCTACTCACATTCAATGCAACATCACAGGAAAGGAGCTGGCAGCACCCTTTGTTAAAAAAAAGAAAAAAGAAGCCAGCAAGCAAGAAAAAAGGCCAGACACTGGGCTTCTGTCATTATAACCTTT